TATCTGTTTATCCTCAAGTCTATTCCATCCATTTTGGCTGTGGATGGCTCTCTGTATCAAAGATTTTAAACGGTACGGTACCTCTTTATATCTTCAGCAAATGACCAACAGGTAAGCTTCTTCTATATTCGTCAAAATTTTTTTCTACTTTCTTTATATTCTATTTATGCATGTGTAACAATCTATAATTTTTAATTGATCTGGCTGATTATTGACAAAATTGCTTCCTATCTTAAGTTTCTGGTTAAATTATTTTTTTGTCAAGAATGTTAATGTTATACTTTAAAACACTGATATAGATAATATATTTATTAAAAAATTATTATTATTATTTATAATTAAAAATAAAAAATTTAAAAATGGAAGTATACATACTATCACAACCTAATTTTTGACAAACCCATTTTAATATTTTGAAATATATATATATATAAAGAGAGAGAAAAGAAAAGAAAAAAAGGATAAATCTTGATTTTTCTAGAAACATTAATTTCTCACAATTTCTCAAGTTTTTAAATGAAAATTTTCAAACTATTTGAGCTTTAATCTAATGGGGAAATTAATACAAAAAATGTGTCAAATAAAAATCGAGATAAATTTTCACTTAATGTTATTTTGTACTCAATTGAGAATATTTAAAATTGAGGTTTCATCTTGGAGGGACCCAATTGCTATCAGGAAGAAAATGTGGGACTAAAATGATAATGGAGGAACCATATGAATTGAGGCGCCAATTTTACCCCTTTCAATTAAGGTCTTCATCAATCGCACCTTCGCCGCACGAGCTCAAGCTTTCTGCCTTCTCAGATCTCGAATTACCTAGCTCTATTGAGGAAGTTTCGCCGAAAAAGGGCAAGGGAACATATGGATTGAAGGGCGAGTCTTACCCCTTCAATCGCACCTTCGCGGCAAATCAGCTCAAGCTTTCTGCCCTCTCTAATCTCGGATTACCCATCGCTATTGAGGAAGCTTTGTGGAAAAGCGGCAAGGCTCGGTATAGAAAAGAAGCAAAAGCTGACTAGGGGGAACAGGTTTCTCTTGTTCGGAGGAGGCTGGAGATTTCGGATGATTCTGGCCTTTGTAAGTAACTTTCAATTTCAATAAAAATCTCGAATTTTCAGTCCATTCTTACTTAGATTTTCAATTTTTTTTTAGTCTAAAGACATGACTAGGACAGCGAATCCAATATTTTTTTTGACTTAAGAGTCCATGACGTAGGTTTTTTTCTTTTTGAGTACTTGGGAAATTTTTAAGATGGACTTAGTAGTACCTCAGTATAGAATATAAGATTTCATGTCAAAGCACCTT